TATAACTAAGAAGAGGAATTTATGACTGGACGGATCCTTAAAGAATCTCATGCCTCCTCACTCATTTGATCGCTGAGAAGTGAAATGACCTGCCCAAAGCTGATGGGTTAAGGTTCAGTACCCAAATCAGATTTCTAGTCTCCTCACTATTAAACCAGTGACCGCTTCTTTCATGCCAGAAAATCTCTTTTTTACACAGATGGCAGCCTTACCGAGGGGCATGATGGAGAGGTATTTGCCTCGGAATTTGCTGGTGATTTTGATTTCCTGACGCAATGTCCAGCCATTTTTGGACTCGGCATGGTGTGCAGCAGCAGGGGGATGATGACTCACCTTGAAGAAATCAGTGGTTCAAATTAAGACGGAGGAAAGGAGAAGGAAAAGATACTGCCTATGAATTGGTGATAAAACACCCAAAATGCATGCATGATATTTTTATACCCACAACAGTAGGTGAACACCAGGGCCTCCAGTGTTGAAGCCCTAAAGGAAAAGAAGGCAGTCTGGGATGACAGGACTGGAATTTCTGCAAATGTAACACCCAGAGGTATCAACCAAAACCATCCCTTTCTTCAAAGTAAATGTGTCACAGTCCTGAGGCTCCTTTACCTGCTCACAGAGGGATCGGTACCCATTCTCCTCTAATCGGTCCAGCTCGAAAGTCTCCCCAAGGAGTGGGTTGAATGGCTTGCTGGTACGGAAGACAGTAGTGGAGTAGGAGGACACGGTGAAAGCTGCAACGTAACAGAGCTGTTCTAGAGAGTTCTCACATTTTGCAGCTCGGTCTAACAGCTCGTGGTATTCCAGATCTTCAGTAAGGCGCTGAAGCATGGATAAGGGCTCATTAAAGTTCACCTGTCAGGAAAAGAACAGATTTAAAAACTTTGCCCACACATCTATAAGAGACAGTTGAATGTTTCTGCAGGTAGAGAGACATATCGAGATGTCGAGAGGATAAAGCAAATCACTGGGAAGAAAAGAGACCTCTGCTCAGGAGACCAGCTCTAAGATCTAACCTACAAGAGATGCACTCTCCCTGCTCAACTGTCCTTGTCAATGAGCGGTATAAATCACTGTTTTCATTTATTTCACTAACTGTAAGCTCTTTGAGATGGGAACCGTGCCTCTTCGTTCATCCCTGCATATCCGAGAGCCACTGATGCCTCATCCATAGGAAACCATCATCAAATAGGTATAGAAAGAATGAATAAAAGAAATGTATTTTAGCACAAGTATACCCAGAGAGGAAATGAGGTATTTAAAATTCTTGAGGAAGAAAAGAAAGGGTAGTAACTTATAAGTACAGGCTTGTCCCGACTGGTGAAAAGAAAACATTACAAAAGTTAGCTTCTACTCCTGGATGAGACAATTGCTAATTTTTTTTTTTTAAGATTTTATTATTTTTTTTGTGAGAGAGAGTGAGCTGAGCCGGGGGGAGGGGCAGAGGGAGAGGGAGAAGCAGACTCCCGCTGAGCAAGGAGCCCGATGTGGGTCTCAATTCCAGGACCCTGGTGTCATAACCTGAGCTGAAGGCAGACACTTAACTGACTAAGCCACCCAGGCGCCCCTCAATTGCTAATTATTGATTCAGTTCTACATCAGGCCAGGATCCTGGTTTCTTCTCTGAGGCTGGACAGTTGTGTTCTGAACAGGAGTGCTCATGATGGGGGCTCACTGGGGGCTTCAAGTGTTTCTGCCTTTCAAGTTTCAGAGCCAACTTAGGGCTCTCAACCACAGGATGAAGAAAGTGTGTGGGGGCACCTGGGTGGCTCAGTCGGTTAAGCGGCTGCCTTCGGCTCAGGTCATAATCCCAGGGTCCTGGGATCGAGCCCCACATCGGGCTCCCTGCGCGGCGGGGAGCCTGCTTCTCCCTCTCCCTCTGCCTGCCTCTCTGGCTACTTGTTCTCTCTCTGTATCTCTCTGCCAAATAAATAAATAAAACCTTAAAAAAAAAAAAAAGAAAGAAAGTGTGTGTGTGCTTCTGTAGGGGAGATGTTCATTCATTCATTTATTCCCTTACGCATTCCACAAATATTTATTGAGCCCTCATGTGTGCCAGACCCTGTACTACTCACTGGGTACAGAGAGACGTGAACAAAAGAGACATTATCTCTCCATCCCCCCCAAAAAGAGTTAATTTCTAAATTGACTGTTTGGAATTTAAGATGACTTTACTACTTAAAAAATCACTATAAAAACACGTTAGGTTCCCAGGCTAGCCCACAAAGCTTACTTTAGGCTTTACAATACAGCACTCTCACTGAACAAGCCTGTATATCATTAGCCTGAGTTCTGAATCCAGAGAACAGAGGAAGGAGGAAAACAATTCCCTTTCTATTGACTAGCGCTGGCCTGGAGCAATATTTCAGTTAAAACAAACAAAAACACTTCTCTTTCCTGCGGTCCCACCTCTTTTTCCGCATTTTTGTCCAACCTCCTACCCACCAATCTCTGAGCCACATAGTACCCTAATATTTATTGCCCTCCCAATTGTGAAGTGTCTTGTAATTTCTACTATAACAAACTTTAAAAAGGAAAAAATTTACCTGAGATGCCATTACCCAAAGATAACCATTATATTTTCATGTTTATTTCTATGCATTTAAAAAATGAAAAATAGGCTACAGCCTGCTTTTTCTCTGAGAAATATATCCAGCATTTCTCTGTGAAAATTTCCCAGTGAACACAGAGCCACCGGACCAACAATAGAACATTCCCCTTTTGGGGGGCGCCTGGGTGGCTCAGTCAGTTAAGCGTCTGCCTTCAGCTCCGGTCATAATCTCAGGGTCCTGGGATCCAGCCCCGCATTGGGCTCTCCACTCAGTGGGGAGTCAGCTTCTCCCTCTCACTCTCCCCTCTGTGCTCTCTCTCTCTCTCAAATAAATTATAAATTAAAATCTAAAAAAAAAAAAAAAAGAACACTCCTCTTTTGGGAAGTAGGATCTAACCTGCCTCAACTAAAACAGGGCACCACACTCCAAAACCATCTTCTTGACACTGAGAGACACTTAAAGGAAAACAGTAGAAGAAAAAATGCACACTGAGGGGTAATGGACTAACAGAGCTCAAATCCTCAAGAGTCTTTTTCACAGAAGGTACTTAGAAACTACGCCAATAAAATCTCACTGGCAGAATTTCAGGCAACACAAAGTAACGCTTCCACGCATGTTGAGGAACACCGGACGAGCAGTGGGCTCTGCTGGTGGCTACAAGACATATGGGCACAGCCTTAGGCATCCTTAAGCCCTCGCTGTTCTTCACACACACGCACCCCTGGCCCCCAACCACTGTTCCAGGAACCAGAGTTTCTTTAAGGCGCCAAGCTTTTCATACTGGTCATTTTATCAGCCAGAGGCCCAACAGGGAAACAAATGAACCTGCGAATTTAAAGCAGAAGGAAGGAAGGGAATTCATTACACGGCTGAGGGAGACTTAGGCAGCCGGAAAAGACACCCTGGAGATCACAACAGCAGGAGGCCATGAGCACGGGGCTGGAGGAACAAAGAGAAGCAGCGGTAGAACCATGGCCCAGGGGCCAGAGGCTCCCAGCAGAAGCTGAAGCCTCATGGGCCCCGTCCAGTGGAAACCAGAACCACACAGCCACCGTTAAAGCACTGCCCAGGAGAACGTACAGCCGGGGTCCCTCCCTTCTCCAACCCCCCCCACCAACTCCTACTGGTGCCTTGCACTGGTGAAGCGCAGCCTTCAGCCAAGGCACAGAACCTGAGAAACAGCCTGGAGGACCCAGCTCTCCTGTGACGCCCCACGGTGCAGGCAGAGGGCAAGGACTAGAGCTTTGGGCAAACAGGAACAGGACTGAACACCCCTAGTGGCAATGTCAACAAGGAACTAATGGTAAAGGAGACAGAGAGGTCACCTAGACTCAGAAGTTATTTCTAAGCAGGAACTGCATTTCTGAGGCTGCAACGACCTGCCTTTCCAGCCATCCTTCCCACTACTTTCTGTAAGGCACCAGAAAAGTGGGGCTTCTTTTCAGACCCCCCAGTAAACCAACTATTTTGTGTGTCTCCAGGGTGCTAACTTGTGGCCTTTTCTTGTCCGGAGGTCAACACTTTTCTAACAAAAATCCTACACACTTACATATAAATCAATTTGTTTTCTAAGACCCAGTTAATTACTTCAACAATTACTAACTGGTAGACATGTGCCAGGCACTGGCTAAGCATCCAAGATCTGAAGGCCAGTAAGACACAGTCTCTACCCATAAGGAACACGGTCTGTGGAGAAGCAGAAGCCACACGCTGCTTCCTGAGACCCAAGAGGGGAGGAGAATACTTTCTGTATTTCTGTATGCTACCCCCCACTCTCCATTCTTCCCTTCTTCTGCAAGACATAGAACCCCCGAACGTTTAACTAGGCGACACCACTGAAAGTAGGAGACTTCCTTGCCAGCTGTGGCCATATAACTAAGTTCTGGCCAAAGAGACTGAAGTGAAACTAGTTCATGCAATTTCTAGGAAGCACTCTTAACAGGCAGGGCATGGCCTTCTCTTTCCTTCTTCCTGCTGACTGGAATGAGGCCCTGATGGCCCCAGCCGGAGCGGCCACTTCAGGCCTCAGGACTGAGGCCACAGGTAGTAGAGCAACAGGATAGAAAGCAGCGTGGTGCTGACAGCGTGGAGTATGGTACCAGCCCTGGGTCCCCTAGCTCCGGACTTTAACAGGAGAATGAGTTAAGCTAATATTAAGGTAGGGGTTGGCCAGCTTTTTCTGTACAAGGTTAGACAGTAAATATTTATATGGCCCTCAAAGCCTGAATATTTCCTATCGCATACGACACTGCCATATGGTCTCTGTCACAGCTGCTCGACGCTGCCGCTGTAGGTTGAAAGCAGCCACGGACAACACACGCATGAACCAGCATCACTGTGGTCCAATAAAACTTACGGGACGCTAACATCTAAATTTTATGTAATTTTCACGTCACGAAATATTGTCCTCTTTTTTATTCTTTTGAAATATTTAAAAACATAAAAACTATTCTTAGCTTGCAGGCTGCATAGATGGCAGCCAGATGTGGCCTTGAGGCCCACGGTTCGCTGACCCTGGGTTTAGACAAACAGATTTTTGATTTGTTTCGTCACTGATACACTGGTGCAACAGCAGGCAGACAGGAGGCACTCAGTAAATGCTTGTGTAATGGCTGAGCAATGGAACCTGTTGGAACACAAGGGAGAGCCATCTCACCCTGACCGGATGCATAGGTGAAAGCTTGCTACCGGACATAATGCTAAAGCGGAATCCTCAAGGCGATTAGCCACGGGAAAAGAAAAGTAGCATGGGTGCGTGGGGAGCTGATGAAAGTTGGGGTAGAAAGAGCAGTGTGTGCAAATGCCCCGAGGGGGAGAAACCAAGATGCCTCTGCATACCTGAAGGTAACTCTGAAGGACTGGCTCACCAGTGTGGGTGGAGCCTGGCCCAGGGGAGGAAGAATCGGGCCCACTAAGGAATCTGGACTACCCTCAAAGCAAAAAAGGATCTAGTTAAGGATTTTAGGCTAAGGAGGGACAGGACTACATCTGTAATTTTACAAAGGTCATTCTGGCAACAGTGTGGACAGACTGAAGGAGGGAGGACGGGAGGCACGGAGATCAACCCAAACACCAACTTCACCATGGAGAGGGTCCTCATCTTCCCAGATGGAATGGACTGTTTTTGTTCTGTGCTCCCCAAGCCTGTGTATGGCTAGTACTTCCCATAACACTACCATGTAGAGGAAAATTTTCTACCCGTTTTCATGTCTGTCTCTTTTAAACTACATGCTTTTTGAAAACAGAAACTCTGCTGTATTTATCTGTGCATGCCCCCAGCACGTGGCACGTAGGAATCTGCTCATAAACGTCACTAAACAAATGCATCTGATTCAAAGTGATCTGGAAACACACCAGATCTACAGACTACATTAAAGCAGCTAATTTTTTATGAGACAGTTTATGACTATAAGGGTAACAAAGATCACGCCACGAACTGCCTCTCTGAGCGCGTGGGGCTGTCCCAGCAGCACACTTCCCGCTGCGGCCTGAGAGGCCCTCCGGCAGAGCCCAGGTGTGCAAGAGCCTCACCGGCATGGGGATCTTTGAGAGTTCTTTTCCAATGCAGTTCTTCATGATGCTCCATAAATTGAGGCTGTAGTTTGGCTTGTATGGTATTCTAGTTCTCTTTTCCTTCTTGGTCTCTTCCAGCTGATGCTTGTACTAAGGGCAAAAACAAAGCCATTCAATCACCCACAAAGAACAGAAAACCCGGTATTTATAAGCTTCCCTTCCCCCATATCAAAAAAGAAGCAGCATTTTCTGTTTCTCATAGGGCTTTATGAGCAAATCCTTGGGAATCACGCCCACATCCCTCGCCCGATGGCTCCCAAATGAGTGTTACCTGTTCGTCCAGGCTGATGTCACTGCTGGCTCCGCTGATGTTGCTGCCAGTCCGTCTACACAGGTGGGAAACATGTGAGAATCAGAACAAGGGTCAACAACCAGAGTCTGGTCCGCACCAGGTCGCTACAAAGCGGAATGCAAAGCACACCGCACAAACTTAGTAACGGGTGACCGAAGGACAACACTTAGATTAGAATATGCATGAATTTAAACATCTCCGGAGACCTCGTTCAGAGAAAAAAGTTGAGGGTTTTCCACTCATTTAAGGAAAAGAGTCCAGATCTGAGTTAACATCGACAAGTTCGATAGTCTCACTGAAACATTTCTCAACTTTGAAGGTCAGATGTGTTCATTTCGGGGGGGAGTCAAGGACAACTTACTTGTGGCCCAAATTCTCGGGCATGGTGATGATCTCAGGAGCATCAAAAAACTCATTCTCATCATCCTCATCACTCATGTCTCCTTTGCCAGAGCAGCACTGGTCTGTGAGGAGAAGGCCATTCGTTTACTTTGGCTCAACTGACCAAAACCCGGCCCAGCAGGGTCTTGACCACACTAACTACCAACACAGCAACACTTGATAGAGAGCAGCAGAAGAGCCAAGTAAACAGCTCCAATTCCCTCGCCCAGGAGTCACTGATCCTGGAGAGTCTGCAGGTCTGCTATCAATGGCAGAAAACCACCTGGCTCATATCTGAACAGGCCACCCAAGAGCCAAGCGACTTACCTTTTCCAGAACCAGCAGTGCCCGGAGTGTTGGCCGGCAGCACTGTGGCCCCCCGGAAGGCCCTCTCCAGGTGATTATGTTGCTTCGCCAGCTGCTCCAGGGTCTCCTCCAGCCGGATACGCTGGTCTCTCTCATACTGAAGGGACTTCTGCCACTTTTTACTATGGGTCTGGGCTAACATGAGGAAATCTCTGCAGGCCTGGACGGAGAAGGAGTTATACTCAACTCAACTCGTCAGAGCTTTCCCTCAGGCCTCTGTAAGCCCATTAAGTAACCATATTCTAGGAACTTTAGCAAATTACAGCAAAAGACTCCTTTTTATTCCACAGTATCAGGGAAGCCAGCTCCATGATGCAATCGAGGTCAACCCCAGAAAAAAAACTGAACATGGTTGTTACGGTTCCTTTATATATTCCTGGTCATGAGGACTAAACAAATGCCAAGTGAGCAATAAACCTAGGCAAGGTATTTGTGGCAACATCGCCAAGGGCAACTATGTGAACTGAACCAAAAGAAGCAATCTACCTATTGACTAAAAGAAAGATGAAGACAAGCAGAGGATAACTGCTTTCAATACATTCCTGACCACACTCAGGTCACCTAAAGCTAAGGGATTCAGATGCTGAGAAAAGGGGATCTGTTCTGAATTAGATCAAAATGGGGAAAAGTAACTGGTTTTTATTTTGGTCACGAAGAGAAACAACTGACCTCAAAAACTAGAAGCCTACGTGGGCATCAAAGAAGGGATCTACAGACAAAACACAGACCTGATCACATTAGCTCCTTCACTGGCTCCCTGCTAGGAACCTAACTATTGGGTTGACCGTCAAGGGCCCTTCAGGTGTGGCCACCACCTGCCTTGTACCCTCCTCCCCTCCTCTTTGTTCTTTAAGATCTGTGGCAAATGTCACTTCCTCTGTGATGATTTCGTGAGCAGCCAATCTCTCCTCTGCATTTCCATAGCACTATGCACACACTTCTGTTTTATACCATCCACAGTGGTACCATGACTGATTTTCTGTCTCTCCAGGTGGATTATGAGCAACTTGAAGACACCATTTATACCTTATTTATATACATATCTCCAGGTCCTAACTTAGTTGCTTTGTACATTGTAGGAGCCTGATAAAGTTTGCTTAATAAATAATGAAGGAAGGAAGCAATGTAAGCCTAAAAGTCTATGCCCTGTTATGGAGAAACTAAAAGGTAAACAGAGTAGCTACTCCCATGGTTTCAACCTTTGCCTATAAGCTAATGCCCATGAAATCAGTAATTCCAGCTCTGTATTCATGGAGACAGGATATCCAATTGCCTATCCAATGGTTCAGAGTAATCTCAAAATCATCGGGTCCCAGAGTGAACTCACCACATTCCCGTTCTGACTCTGCTTCTCCACGCCAAGAACAGTACCAGGGCCCTTCCCCCTGCCCAAGCCAGGAAACTAGGAGGCACCCTTGATTCTTAATTTTTCTTCCCTCCCCACTTCTGATTATCAAGTCCTATTGATTCTTCTTTAATATTTCTGGGATCTGTGTACACATCTTTCCATCCTCCATACTCAGAGGCGTTCCATTGTTGGGACTCTAATCGCAGCTCCATCCCACTATCTAGCTATGCAATTTGGGGCAAGTCATTTAACCTATCTGTGCCTCGTGCAAACAAAGAACCACCACAGCAACTATCTCAAAGAGTTGTCGCTTTACATATAAAGCATTTAGAAATCTGAGGCTCACAGTAAGCATTCAATAAGGTGTTAGCTATGAGAGTTAAGCCTGCATCAAAATCGGTCTTATCCTCTTCTAATCCACTCTACCAAGCCCGTTTAGTAGGATCTGCACCCCTCCCCTCCCCCACACTTAATCCCTGGCCAGCCTTATCTCTAGCTACTTCCTTGTTCTAACAGTCAATTCGTAGTTTCCAGACTTTGGGAGAGAGGGAAGGGATCCCCATAAGCCACATCTGTACTTAGATCAGTTCTTCTCCCTCACTTCTTTTAAGAATACTGGTCATAACTAAAGTTTAGTGAAAGGCAATTATATGTCAGGCACTTCACTGAACCCTTTACATTAATTATCTAATGGAAGCAGCTACTATCAGCACCATTTACAGAAAAGGAATTGAGTTCACAGAGGAAGCAGGTTATGTAGATAGCTGAGGCAGCTGGACTTCAGGCCCCCAAGCTGTCTATTGCCTTTTTTCACAGGAAGAGTCTTTCTGGTCTTTCAGAACTTAGTTGAGGAGTCACCTTCTCTAATCTTCCTGGTCTGAGCTAAACACCTCCAGTATCCTATATATACCATAGCAGCCTGTGTTCCTTTCTATCATGACACTTAGCACACTCTATAATGATCCGTTTACTTCTCTGTCCCCTCACTACAGAATAATCTCCCTGAGGGCAGGGTCCATATCCACATTTGTTTTATATCCCCTAGCACAGTGCCTAGAACACAGATGGTGCTCAACAGATGTTTCCTGAATAAGCAAATGGAAACACTAATGGTATCAAATGGATTTCCCAGGTTCAATTCACTTTGGTAGAAAGAAGAGCTATGTCCTAAGCAATCAAGAAATTGAGTGAAATGTATTCTTCCTTTGATAAAACTTTGCCTGTTTTGAGATGTAAAGTCAGCATGTTAATTTTAAGGCCTTGCCACTATCACCTAAAAGATACCAAGGAAAAAATGCGAGGATAAAAAACCCATTTCAAGCAACAACAAGCTATGAAGGAGGCATAGGCGGTACACTGGGGAGAACAGAATGAAAAAACAGAACTTACCTCTGATTGCCAAAGGATCATTCCCTTTGACACAAACTCTGAACATATACAACTTGGGGAAGAAGAACTGCCCCAAGGAACAAAGATGGGCATTTCTTTCGATAGAAAAATCCAAACTAAGTTTCAGTTTTATGAGAAAATTTTTTAACCAAGAGGTGTGTAATTTAATTTTTCACATCAGGGGAGAAAAAAACCTGCCATGGAGCAGGGATAAAAGGGCACAAGGGCACATTCACTGTCAGGAGACTGTTGTGTCCTGTTCCATTTAAGAAGTATATTTATTTACTATTGGTGAATTGACCTGTATGATTTATGAGGTTTTCCTGATCATAAAAGGACCTGAAAAAGAGGCACACGTTCACTAAGAAGTGGGAGAGTTTGGAACAAGAGCATACGATTAGACATTAGAACCACAAGCATTTGTGCTGATGGGCAAAATGGGCTTGGGAGACAGCTGATCTTCCTGCAGTCCTTAAGTGGACAAAAATAATTAGCCTCTTCTACTTGGTGTGTGAATCAGAGCACTGAAGAAAATGTTCAACATTTCAGAAAATGATATGAAAATCAAGGTTATCACAACTTTCTATGGAGTAACAAAGGGGTTTTAAGTGAGAAAAACTAAAATTTCCCCTGGTCACAAGAAAAGACCTTTGATTTCTAGAACTAAACTAGTGAACTAAACTAGTTCTAAGCAAATGTCTTAGTATCACTCCCTGAACAAGGGAAAATCTGGCCCTAGTGAGGTAATTTCATCCCATTTAATTGGACAGGGGCAAAACCAGCATAAGCCCTTTCTCAAGATACTCTTTTCAGTTGCCTTGGGACATATCCTCTGGTGTTCTTCTGTGCAAGTGAACTGAAACAACCCACCAGGTGAGAATCAGTCACTGGTAGAGGAGAAACAGTGCTGTTTAAACCACATATTCATTTCACACCTATCACCCAGTATCTGAAATACACCCCAACGCCTGCCATGCTCTGAGTTTACCTAGAGCCCTGCACCCGAGCAGCTGAAGTATTCCACACAGGCACCCGAGGCTGGAGTCATCGTAAGACAGAAGCATTGGTCCCTTCTTTTTTGAAAGCAAAGTACCCAAATTTGAGTATTTTGTCTTATCACCCAGAATTACCCCTGGGATCAAGGACTACAGATGGGACTAACTAGGATAAAGTTCTCCCTAATACCTGGCCCCACTTACCACAGTGTAGGCCAGAACGCACTAGCAAAGTACGGGAAGACTCCCAACGTGAAGTTCACACACAACAGTGGAAGGGACCCATGGAGGCCACTCAGATCCAACAGATCAAGTTAGATAAAAACATATAAACAAAACCGCAACCCAAAGAGGTTGAGGGACTCAACTAACATCGCCATCGGATGTCCTGCCGGCTGCAGAAGCAAGGCCGGGCCTCTGGCCTCCTAATGAAGTCCCAGGTCAGAGTGGACTGCGTGAGCAGAGCATGAAAGTCACTGCATCTGTGCGGCCTGTTCTTCATGCAACGAATAATGAGCAGTGAAGCAGGACCTACTGTTCCCTGCTTTATCAATTACAATCTGCCCCAGCACAGCATGTGGGGAGAACTGCATTCTGAAGAGGGAAAGAATAAGGCGACACAGGCACCAGCTGCACTCACATTGATCATGGCATTGGACGTTATCCTAAAGAGCGTGGCCCGCTCATTGACCTGCTTGATCTTCTCGTTGCTCTCGGCGGGCAGCCGCAGGGCCTCCAGCTCGCTGAGGGAGCGCTGCAGCGCCGTGCCGTGCTTGGCTATCAGGTCATTGCATGTGCTCAGGTCCTCCACTTTGCTGGACAGCGTCCGCAGGGTATTCTGCAGCTCTGTCTTGTCGGTTTGTGAGACAGACTCTTCATCTCCTGACTCATCTGTAGGAGCCAGAAGGTGAGTTATAGGACTCCACTTATGTGACTGCAGAGCTGAGAGTCGGAACCCCACCACCTCTGTCCACAACGAAACCAGCACTCCCCGCGCTGTGCATCTGGACCAACGGAGAGCTTGCCATTACCAGACAACTGGGCTCTGATGTGGTCCACAGCCCACCTGTACCACAAACACCTGCGTGGTTCTTCCTTTTTTCCCCGCCGGGGCACACGACAATGAGCATTTATTTTGCCCATGCTTTTCTTTTTTCTTCTAGTTTTATTGAGTCATCACTGACATATAGCACTGTATAAGCATGATTTGACTTACATATATTGACAAATGATTATCACAGTAAATTTATTTATTTATTTATTTATTTATTAAAGATTTTATCCATTTATCTGACAGAGAGAGACAGCGAGAGCAGGTACACAAGCAGGGGGAGTGGGAGAGGGAGAAGCAGGCTTCCCGCCGAGCAGGGAGCCTGATGCAGGACTCGATCCCAGGACCCTGGGACCACGACCCGAGCCGAAGGCAGACGCTCAACGACTGAGCCACCCGGGCGCCCATCACAGTAAATTTAGTTAGCATCCATCATCTCATATAGACACACAAAAAAAGGAAAAAAAGTTTTTTTCCTAGTGATGAGAACTTCTAGGATGTACTCTCTTAGCAATTATCAAATATACCATATAGTGTTAACTATCGTCATCATTTAGGGGCTCCTGGGTGGCTCAGTCAGTTAAGCATCTGCCTTCTGCTCAGGTTATGACCCCTGGGTCTGGGGATCGAGTCCCACATCAAGCTCCCTGCTCCGTACGGAGTCTGCTTCTCCTTTCCCCTGCCACTCCCCCCGCTTATGCTCACTCTCTCTCTCTGTTAAATAAATAAATAAAATCTTAAAAAAAAAAAAACACACCCAAAAAACTATAGTCATCATGTTGTATGTCACATCCCCAGTATTTATTTATCTTATAACTAAAAGTCTGTACCTTTTGTCCCCCTACATTCAATTTCCCCACCCCCCACCCCTAGGCTTCTTCTTAAAGGCACCAACACTCTGGCCCCACCCCAGAAATTGATTTGGCTGGTGGGAGGCAAGGCCCAGGAACCTGAATTTTGCATAAGCTGCCCAGACCATTCTGATGCACACTGAAGTTTGAGAACCAATGATCCCTGGAAGATAGGATGGAGAAGCTAAATAGCTCCTGGGATTGGGAATGAATTGTTGAGCCTTGTAACTCCAGCTTGAGGGCTCCAATCCAGTCCAAGCTGATCATTACTATAAATCCACCATTATCCATTGGGTGATGGGTGACCCCTGTATGAAATGGGTTGAGAATTGCACTCTGGTTCTTTGTAAGCAATATCCACATCACCAAAAGACTCATTAATTTACCTTTTCCAAAGGAGAGCTCAGGAAGTTTGTGATGAACTCATGTGACACTAAAGCCACCCCTGCACTGAAATGACCCTCCAACAGTAGGTCAAATAGTTGTACCATGTTGTACCTCCCGCTATCAGTTCTGTACCCAACACTCTGCAACTGCAAAATGCTTTTCTAGCAATGTCACTTCCTTTGAGGGAGCTAACATCAGCACTAAAATCAAAACAGAAGAAAATAAGGAAAGACCTCCCCTATCTGCTAGCCTGAGAGGCAGGACTGAAGTCAAAATATAACCTGTTACAAAAAAACTTACAAAGCGGTATATTTCCTTTCGCTGTTTAATAGATAAAATACAGTGTGGGAAATGACAGGGGATAAAAAAACAAGAGATGAACAAAAGCCAGCAGGTGACCATCTTGGTCAGCTCTGAGTGGACAAGCTCAGTGTGATTAAACTATCAACAAGGGGTTGGGCAGGGGAAATACCACCATTTTCCTTGAAGAAAAATCGAAACATGTGTAGACCACTCTTTTTAGTGAAACTAAGGTAGCAAACTGAAGATTTTCCATAGAAAGTATCCCATATAATGTGTCTTGCAATCTATAAAGACTGTTTCAACTCAGAAGATACTTAAGTAAGAAAATGCCAGGAGAAAAAGAAAAAAAGTAAAGATAGAATCTAACCGTGAGTTGTAATAATCTTAAGACAGACCTAGCAATAAAATATTTCTTTCCCCAAATTTTAAGGTAGTCAAATGGCATTAAAAGCCAAAATGACAACCGTTATGCTTCTTGGACAGAGTTTCTCCGCCTCGGTACTACTGACATTTGGGCCCAGTTAACTCCTCGTTGTGAGGGCTGTCCTGCGCAGCCTCCCCGGCCTCTCCTCACTGATGCCCATAGTACCAGCATCCCTCAGCTAGGACCACAGAAACATCTCCAGACACTGCCTGATGACCCCCGCAGGGCAGAACTGCGCCCAGATGAAAACCGCCACTCCGGGAGAAGTACCGCATGAGGAGGAGATGCCCGAGTCAGTCAGATGGGTGATAATTAACGGACAGTGAGGTAATAAAATAAGGTATGTGCCTAGGAGGGGCAAACAGGAAGCTCCCCAGACGTGGTGCTCTCTGCTCCCTACCCGATTCTGCCAGCATCTTCACAGCCTTCGCCTTGGCCAGCTCCAGGGCCGTCACCCAGCGCTGCCGCTCCACTTCTGAGCTTGCCTTCAGATGGTAGGTCTGAGCGCCGCCGTTGGAGATGATGAAGTTGCAGGAGTCCTCCACGGTGATGTTGGCCGTGGCGAGGTTGATGGTACCACGGCAAGTGTGTCTCATTTCTGCCTTTGACCTGCAATAATGAGACAAAGACCAGCTAAGTAGAAAGTGGATGGGTGGTTTATCCTTCACCGCCTTCCTTGTCTTCTCGTAGCTCTAAGCTTTTTGAACATGCGGCAGCCTTAGGAAACAGCAAGTTATACTATTTCCCTTACACAGCTCCCTAAGATTCCAGAAACAATCAGCAGGGATTTCCTTTCACAGCCATTAAATGGTAGTACTGAGTCAGGCTGTATTGCTCCGCTGTTTTAGAAATAGCCTTCATGAAAGTATAACGACATACAATGTTAATTCAGCAATTTTAAGTGTATTAATGCAGTGAGTTTTGACAAATGTATACAACTGTGTAACCACCTCCACAATCAAGATGTAGAACATGTCCATCACACCAAAAAAAGTTCCCTCATTATACTTTTGTAGTCAGGAATTACTTATTTAGCAAGTTATAATTTTAAAATAGTGATTTATGGGGCGCCTGGGTGGCTCAGATGGTTAAGCATCTGTCTTCAGCTCAGGTCACTATCTACAGTTCCTGGAATCAAGCCCCACGTCGGGCTCCCAGCTCAGCAGGGAGTCTGTTTCTCCCTCTCCCTCTCCCCCTGCTTATGCTCTCTCTCTCTCTCTCTCAATGAATAAATAAAATCTTAAAAAAAATAAAATAGTGATTTATAAACTCACACAACAAAATTTCTTTTAACACTCTCACTCCCTCAGAGGAAGAATAGCTCTGTTTCACATATACTGAACAACCTCCCTCCTTAACCTCAACTCAGCCCAAATGAGAATTGTCATACTACACTTAGAATTATATTGCATCAGTGTAAGGCATGCTGAGATGCTTAGGGTATTAAATATTGACTATAGCTCAAATGATATGAAAGAGGAATAACTAGCTTTCTGTGGGAGTAAAGAAAGAATAATCATAAAAGAATCACCAAGTAATATAATCTTTAGGGAATATGCTCTTTCCAAGGATCCACTGACCTCTATTGGTAGGAACTCCTAAGCCATCCTATTAATAGCTAGGAAAGATTCAGCAAATCTGTTCTCAGAGGATTGGGTGCAAAAATTTTCCCCATCTCTACTGACAGTTCTATTAATAGACTAACTTTTGAACTTTACATCACTACCTGGTGACAACAAGCTAACTTCACAGAAAATACCAAGCTGCTAGCACAATTGTGTATACCTTGCAAACTGAGCTAATTTCCCCACCGCCCGTTGGGTTATGCCCAGAGACCTGCATGTTGAGACCATGGTTTTCCCTGACCAACTTGGAACATAAAGAGGTCAAAGTCCTTTGCCAACTGCCACAGTGCAGAGTGGAGCCATTTCCCTTTCACTGGAGTCAAGCAGCCCCATACACCTGGCACAGCCCCATACACCTGGCACATTCCTGCGTGCCAGAAATGACACACACCCCATCTCCAGAAACTAAGACTTGGTATGTTTGAGAAAGTCTGTTTACTGTGCTTAGGAAGACAGATTTGCTATTGTTCAGTGTGTCACATGAAACTGGTTTTTCCTCCTCAAATGCACAAATGAGCAGTATGGGATGGCCAAGGGGGTCTCAATGGCCTGGGCCATTTTCCATCCCCTGCACCTGCCACACTGTAATGTGAATCCCTGTTTTTTCTATTCTTACCTCCCCTCCCCCCGCCCCCAAGCTTCAGTTACATTATGAATAATGCAGGCCGAATTTCAGACCCACAGCTGACAGGCCAGCTCACCCTTGCTTTCTACTCCAAAGGTGCTACTTGGACTTTTACCACATTCCTCACCATCTGTTGGTACTTTTCACCTGCCACTTCCTAGGAATCTCTTCTGCCTGCGTCATCTTCATGAACTAAAGGAGTTTCTCCAATCACATAAAGTCCATAGCAGTTTTAGAAATACCAAGGAACCCAAAGAGTAAGGCAGGCTTGACTCAGGAGCTCTTGGGTTCAGGCAGATACACCTATGTTTATAAATGATTAGTGCAGTTCAGAGTGCAAGATAAGCTCTTCCGGTACTACGGCAACAATTAGGTGGTACTTTTTGTCTAGAAAGTTCCCTGAAAAGGCCAGCCGAAACAGTAATTCAATCTCTGGAAACTAGTCAGGAAAACGAATGCTATGTGTCTGGGAAAGCTGAGGTTCTACATATGGCTTTAAGTAATGGGACATCCATGTAACTGTGTATGTAAGGAAGAACAGGATGGGTAAAAAGAGGGAAGTGGCCCGCCAAAGCCCGTTGGGACAGTTCATCACAGGCTGGGTCAAAGAAATATATGATCTCAGTTAAAAAGAAAACAGCATTTTGTAAAAGGCATATAGAGGAGATGACAGGTTATGGAGGCACGAAAAGTGGGAGGAATGACAATTTAGCTAAATAACTCTAGGGAGATGGGGACCCGAAGAACCCTGTTAAGAAGAATAAACTACCAGTGTAGTCGGTAGGAAATACTTCAAAGTGATTTTGAAGGTAGTGCACAGATTTGATAACCCTGGTTCCTGTTGCTTGGTTGGTTTGTGGGTGGGACCATCTTAGCTGGCAAAGACAGGCCTATGCACATTTCCTAATATGTGGTTGGTATGCTTTGGAAGGAGTTTGATCTGTAGTCATTAGCTCTTGTAAAAGAGAAGTTAAAAGTGGTTACAAATACCTGAAGAGACAGCAACATATAAGTTCTTAATGTCCAGCCAAGATCAATATTAAGACTGGTACTGATTAAAGAATCAACTGGCCTGGAAAGTGAATCTGGTAAGAACTTGGATGAGGAAAAATGGCTACACAGTAAGGACCTCAGCTGACACACAACTTCTGAAGATGAGCAATCAATATTAATAGTGACTTACAAGCCAAGTTAGGATACGAGTCAATTGAACATTAGAATGATAGTCAGTGAAACAGGAAAATAGGACTTGAGTAGGGGAAAAATTTTGGAACACACTAAAATGTTAGATTTGTGATCTAACCTTAAACTGATTGTCCTGGATGAGTACTTAGAAAGGGTTAAAATTAAAATAAATTCTGAATATAATAATGCAAATGATACAACTGTTCACAACGTGGCTGAAGCAGTAAGGATGTGCTAAGGCACTTTCCAATGTTAGAGACTAGATAAGAATGTGTTCTTATTTCAACAACCTCCAACTCCCACCTTCAATTTCCCCTCAAAATTCTCTAAGAGCTGATACAATGGAGTTGATGGAAGAGATTCATTCCCCCTAACTCTCCTGGTGGCAGAATGACTACCTGCAAAGGAAGAGAAATAGAGTGAGCTGTTCTTAACAGCGTTTGGGGTCTCAAATAGGATGGTCTTTATAAAAAGATTTCAAGTAGAAATGCCATTATATTAAGAAAAGTCTCCCTTAAAGGGGACTTATACATTTTGTATAAAGTACACACAGTAACTATGATCTATGAACTTGGTATAGGCAAGCAATAATCTCTATTATCTGATTGATTCATGTAACACTACCCTGGGTTTTAGGTTATGTTGGTGTGAAGAGAACCAATTTCAAATCCTGACTCCTTAAGACCTTGGAAAAGTTGCCCAGCTAGGTCTCAGTTTCCTCATCAGTAAGATAGGAATATCTCCTAACTCCCAGGGTTACTGTTGGGAGTCAATGAAAAGATCCAAACTGTCCAGCCATCAGGACATGTTTATGTCCTGTCCCCAAATCCAGTATCATTATCTCTAGTAACTCGAGTAGCCAAAAGCATGCTACAGTTATGGCAAGACTGTCAGTCACCATAAATATATATTAAACATTCCAAAACAAACAAGAAGTAATCATACCAAAGACATGGATTCTTCTTTTAATAAAACTTAAACCCAACCAACCAAAGAGACCCCAGAAATACTGGATAGACCACTTAAAGCATTCCCATGGGGGTAGGTGGGATCAGCATACATAAAAGCAGCACTGGAGTGCACATCTCCATTCTGGGCTGTCCAGAAGGTGAAAGCATATGTCAAGTCTGGGAGAGATAAGGAAGACAGGGGGTAGATACGGAGGCCACCCTGTGCCTGGTGTCCTTGTGCCTGAACATGGAGAGAACAACGGCGGGTACATCAAGGGCTGCTAATAACCTTGAATTTTGGAGATCGAGGACAGACAGCTAAGACTTGGGACTTTCACAGTAAGTTCCTTGAGAGCCATGCCTGGGCTTTGCTCTTCCACATGTGCCCCTTAGCACCTACAACAGCGCCTTCCTTGCAGAATTCATCATTGCACCTCTGTGCTGGTGGAAACACAATGGAAGAGTAGACGCTCTCCAAACAACTGCAAAGGCCAGGAACGGAGGGGAAGGTATTGCACCAAGGGCGGGTAACCCAGGTGGAGGGGTTAGACCCGGGGCGTTCACTTTTGTGATGGTGGGCTCGCGTCGCGGGCTGTCAATGCGCGCAGGTGACGAAAAGGGGCCTGGGGCGACCTCAGCTGCGGTGCCGGCTCGAGAGGGTGACGGCGCGGGGACTGTGGGCTGCGGTGGGGGACGGCGCCCCGGAAGCAGTTACCTGTAGTAGCTCAGGAGCCCGTTGCTCAGCACGAACCACCGCCGCTGGTAGCCTTTGATATAATTGGTCCATTTGAAGAGCCAGCCCTCTCGAGCCGAGCCCGAACCCCC